GTTAAAATGTGATCAAGCCTTCTATTGAAGATGGGTAGCTCAAAGAGTAGGGCTCTGACACACTAACCACGAGATCCGGGGTTGGATAACGATGTAGGTTGAGAAAGTTCCCTCGGATTTCCCAGCCTGGTTTCGTCTTGGACGGAGGGTCTGGCAAGAAACGGTGTCTATAGTAGCTGGTGGCTGCACGTAAAATAACAGTTGGAATTCAAAAAAGAGTAGGCCTAGGCTACGCCGTAGCGCCTCATGCCACATTGCATGGCATAATTATGTCCTTCTTTATTACCCCGGTTGGAGCAGAACAGTAGGACTTAACCCCCATTGCATTCAAAAATAGGCAGTGCCGGACTGAGCCCACCTGTCCACCTATAAAGAAAAAAGAAAAAAAGAGAAAGAAAAAAGAAAGAAAGGAGGAGAGGACAGGAGAAAGAAAAAAAAGGAATTCTGCTTTGGTCTGAAATGCTTGGAAAACGGGTTTGCAGTTGTCAATTTTCAATTTTTTTCTGGGGGGGAGGACCCCCCCCCCCCCGACACTCGCGCGCCATAGGCGAGCACGTCACGCGACTTCGGCGCGTTCTTGTGTGGGCCTTGGTCAATGACCTGACAGGGTGGGCCTTCGGCCCACCAGTCCGGCACTGAAAATAGGTGGGCTACACAAATAACAGATTTGCAAATAACGGGTTTGCAGTTGTCATTTTTCAATTGTTTTCTGGGGGGAGGACCCCCCCCCCCCCCGACACTCGCGCGCCATAGGCGAGCACGTCACGCGACTTCGGCGCGTTCTTGTGTGGGCCTTGGTCCGGCACTGAAAATAGGTGGGCTACACAAATAACAGATTATCTAACAAACAACAACTACATGTATTGCTTTTTCTTGATGACAGCTGTCTATGGAGCATCACGCCAGTAACTAATCGTAGGTTAGTTAAGTTACAGGGGATGTCAATCATGATAAGGGTATGCAGCCTATGTACCTTAAACTGCAATTAGATCACACGTCAAAAGCATGACGGCTATCATACAAAGGTTAATAAAGGTCTGTTTCGTTAATTTATCTTTTACGTGCGTTAATTATTTACTTTCGGCTAATTTCGTGGGATGCTACAGGACACAACAGCAAACTTGTGTGAAATAGGTTTATTTTGACGTCGCAGATAAAAGAACAACATTAATACATAGGCGCACGCATTTGAATCTTGCCGCTAACCGCAAACACCTACTGGAAGTCGGAAGGTGATGATTTTCTTATTTCGAATTGTCTGACTTTTCCCAAGCAATCTTCAAGACAGGTTCAAAACAATACGACCCTGTTTTTGTTAGTCTTGTTAGTGAAATACATTTCTCGAATGTTTTATTAGTCAACTTTCCAAGGGTGCATTTTAGACCTTTCTAAGAATTACATGATAGAAGTTTTATCCAAATTGATGCCGTCGTGGCGGTCCAGTTGTTCTACTTCTAGGAAAGTCATAGATGAATCTTGTAAAAGATAAAAAAAAAATGCTGTTTTATATCCTTCTGCGCCATTTTAACTCTGTACGAATCATATTTCTAATCACTAATCAGGGGCGGATCCAGGATTTTTTGGAGGAAGGAGTTTGCCCGGTTCCTGATAACACATTGAGAGAAATCCAGCACCCCCGTTTGACGTCAATTTTTATTATGATTTCATAGGATCACATTGTGATTCTATTTCATTGATGCAAAGCATTAATTGTGATATCACATGACAGTATCATTATATCGCGCTTTGAACGCTCATTCCATCCCACCATCACGATAAAGCACACGACCGTTACACTTTTCTCATAATGGTGCTGTTTCAAAAAAAATATATAGTAACTGGGCCCGCCCCTGACTAATAGGAATATCAGTCCAAAAATGGTACAATTTACAAAGATATGTGGCATTAAATTTTCATCGGTCAAAGCCGATTAGCTATGTAATAAGCAGGTTGCCGTTTTGTTGTCCGCGGAAATTTTTTAATCCGATTGAATCCAAAAGGTCCCGTGTACGCATTGGCGTGCACGTAAAAGATCCCTTCACAGTTGGAATTCGATATAGCACACTGTATGGCGTATGCCCGTCTTCATTAGCCCAGTTCGGAGCAGAACAGTAGGACGTTAAACCGCATTTCATTTCATTTGCAACTGAAAGGACTAACCCCAACCCAGATACATGCCGACGTGGTCTCCACTTTAGGGGGTAAGCCTAGTCCCTTTTCACAGTAAAGAAGTGGGCTGCGGAATTTAAACTTGGCAGAGAGAGCCTTAACAATTGAGCCCCGTCCTGGAAGGCAACTATTCAAGAAAACATTACCCAGGTGCATATGGCGATAGCTTATCGACGATTGACCCACTCGACATATTGCCAGTGCTTTAGGCATCTCTCATGAGAGGGTTGGGCACATTATCGCTAACGAGTAAGGAATGACAAAACTTTCTGCAAGATGGGTGCCAAAGTTCTTGACAGCGGATCAGAAACGTGTCAGATTTCTGACGTCCCTCGACAATCTGCGTCGTTTTGATACAGATCCTAGTAATGTTTTGACTAGATTTGTTACCATGGATGCGACCCATTTCCAAATATGAAAAAGAAGAGAGAGAGGCAGGGAGATGGGTTTAACGTCCACTCGACACAAACTATGTTATTTCGGGACTAACATATGGTTCAATGTTATTTTAATAATTCGCTTGCGCGTAGAGGTCTTTAGCAGTGGGAGGAAACCGGAGGACCCAGAGAAAACCCACGTGGTTGGACAGGCGACCCTAACTCCTCATCACATACAACTTGGGAATTGAAACCACGCCAGTTGACTCAATGACAGACCTTATGATACAACGCGTATGTGCTAACCATTCGAACGTCCAACCACCCATAAACTGCGGTCGATTTTTTTTTAGGGTGGCTGAAGTAATTTTCTTCCTGACCGACATCCAGGCCTTGCAAAATCGTTGGCAAAACTGTGTACACCTTGAATGGGACTATGTAAAAACCATCAACTTTGTACCATGACGAAATCTGCAGGTGGCCTTAATATTTAGATCTGGAAAAAAAAAAAACCAACAAAAAACACCTGCTGTAAAAAAATTTTGGCCAATGCCGAATCAGTGGCAATCAGATACAAGGAACGATAAACAGAACTTGGGCCAAATTATCATTTTGAGAATGATGTATTAGTGTACATGTAGATTTTATTTCAATTATTCCCTTGCACCAGGTCGGGGGTCATTACTAGTAGATAGAACACAGAGAAAACTCAAGGGATGAAGCAAACAAACCCTGCTCCTTACTGCCATTTTGTTCTTCTCATACATGGGTGGGCTAGATCCTTTAAGCCAGCCAATAAAACTAAAATATTTTGACTATTCAACATAGCAAGTGGTGGTTATTACAGACATGGTTTCTTTTCCAAAAATAACATACTGGGGACTGCTATAATTTATAACCACTTGCAGTTGTAGCCTTTTTTCATTTTTGTCCTTTTTGAACCTTTCTTATGAATGTACATTCTAGGGCGTCTAAATTGAACAAATAAAAATAAAGCAATTTAGCATGGTGGTGGTAATACTTAGTTTATCTTGATTGCCTCAAGAGTTTCTCCTGTAAGTTTTTACTGATTTGAGTATTGATGTCTAGATCTTAATTTTCATCTCAAAATATTGGATATTTATAAACATGAAAAACATCTGATATCTGTGAAGTTCATCTGTCTGCCATGATTTTCCTCTCCATAAACTCTGGTTAGATTTTAAGCTCTTGATATCTGCTTTACCTTCAATAAAATGTTGTCAAAACCACTTTTACTCTACATACTTACATCTACACTACAAATAAATCTGACTTGAATCAGTTTTCCAGCATTTTCAACATGGCCAAAGTGTGAACAAATTAATAGCATATGATTAATGTAAAAGTTGTTCTGACATTTATTTTGAAAATACAGCAGATAGATTAGGTAGGCCTACATGTACATTATGATTTAAAGATACATTTTCATGAAAGTACTTATAGTGTAGTTATAAATGTAAAGAGAGAGAAATGGGGTTTAACGTCCACTCGACACAAACTAGGTCATTTCGGGACTAACATATGGTTTAGTTTTATTTCAATAATTCGCTTGCGCATAGGGGTCTTTAGCAGTGGGAGGAAACCGGAGGACCCGGAGAAAACCCACGAGGTTGGGCAGGCGACCCTACTCCTTGTCACGTACAACCGGGGATTCTGAAACCATGCCAGTCGACTCAATGACAGACTTTATGAGACAGCGCGCGCACGCTAACCATTCAGCCATCCAACCCCCCATAAATGTAAAGAAGAGATGCCCAATCTTGCTACAAAAATACCGGATTCCCAGAAAAACACCTATGAGGCGAGCACTGGGCAAAAATGTCAGGGTATCGCTATTACTAGCAACCTGATGGCTTATTGTCTGCCAGATTGACTTAGGGAGCGGTTGTTATTTCTTGATCGAATGGTTAGGCAATTTGGGAACATTGAAGGGTTTAAACCTATAACAGACTTTGCAATTAAACCCCAGAAAAAGAAGTTGGTAGAAGATAATCCAAGAATTTACTTAGGCTTCAGTATGTATGGCAAATGGACAGTAACGACAAAAACATTCTGAAAATGGGGACTCCCTCAATCAAGTTAAATGAAAAACATGACTTCTAAAAATAGATTTTTTATATCTTGGGGTGTTTCCTTGTGAACACAATGTTTTGAGAGGGATTTGAAGCAAATTTTTGATAGATTAATAGGTTTGAATATGTTTTTAGTCCAAATATATTATCAAATCACCCAGTTTGTAAGTGGGGAGGCATCTTTAAGGCTTATATCTGATAATTCTGCATGCAATGATTTTCAGCTAACAAATTGATCAGTACCGTATTTTAGGAATATTTATAGCACTTTTCATATGTAGGCCTATGCAGATTTAAGGGTACCAGATAGTCATACTCATAGTGCTTCTATGAGCTTATTATAGAAAGAATATGCAGACAATTCTTTAAAGTCAATTTATTTTGGATATTTTCACAGAAGAAAGTGGTAGAAGTGTTGGATATCAGAAAATGTTCTATAAATTTACATGACAATGCTTTGTCAAAAACTATGACCTGTCATCCCCATTGCGATATATCATAGGCCGACAGCATTTGTTCAGCTTCAAGAAAATTATAACTAATACTAATAGATCTCAGACTTTGTATTCCTGTGAGGTTTGACTCGTGATGACCGCTGCCATTAATTACAATTTAATTAATAATATCAATAAGAGTCAAGGATGGTTGTGACATGTCCATTCACAGACAGTCATGTATGTAGTAACTGATCATAACAACTTCACTCGATCAAATAACAATTTTTTTATTTTTTTTGTTAATTTATAGTTTCTACTTTGATACACAACAGTCAGCACGTTTTCGTCACCAATTAAATAAATTTATAAGTTATTCTAAGGCTTTAGACAAAGCTTCATAACACTCAAATGATATCTGTGCTTGCGCTTTTGCTAGTTCTGTGGTAGCAGAATTAAGTTCTTGCTGGGACTTTGCTAAACCGTCTCGTATGGCTTGTGCATCTAATCTGTCAACAGGGTGGGCTTCTTCTGCTAAAACTTGTACGGACGAGTCGTCGTTTATGGTAATGTTTCCGCCACTGACAAAATATTTTTTGACGGATCCATCTTCTTCAAATACGGTAACTACTCCTGGTTTTAAAACGGCTAAACTGGGCACGTGCTCAGGTAAGATTCCAAAACTACCACTCAAAGAAGGGACATCAACTTGCTTCACATTGGCGTTCTGGTAGTAAGCATTTCCTGGAGAGGAAAAGGTAAATGACATGTCTGCATAACTGCGTTTGGAAATTTCTCTGGTAACTTTTGCCAATAATCCATTGGTACGTGTTAGGTGTCTTAAAACTGACATTGTGGTCTGCTGTAATTAAATTTGTCTAAACTTCACGTTCTTGGAGCAATTTCTCGACCTTCACTTCACAGTTCTTGAATGTCATGCGCACAGTTAGTCTTCCTCATCCAGACTCAAAGCTAAGAACCGAAACTTTAATTTAGATTACCCACATGGGTTAATGGTGTTTTAAAAGGAGTGTTGGTTTTGTGTTTATATTTGGTAATTTAGTTCAGGTAAATTTAATTTTAATTTTTCAGCGAGTGATTTTTTACAGCCTTTGTTATCGGGTAATGGGGGATAACTCTCTTTATGAAGAGTTGAAGTAACCGGAAGTTTACTTTAGAAACCGGCAGAATTTTAACGTCCTCTTGAAATTTACAGACTGGTAAGAATTTGTAATCCTTCTCCATCTCGAATTAATGAAACATTACAGTGTATCTGAAAATTTTTATTGCTATATAATATTTGTAATAATTTTTAAAAAACGGTATTTATGTTCTAGTTTTTATCATACAACAAATATGGCGGATATTGAAAATGGAGATGAAAGCTACCAAGAAGAACAAAGCGGCGATTTTGATTCATCACAGTTCGAAGCCAACGATGATGCGGCAATCGCCGCAACAGACGATATAGGTTTAGTTGAAGACCCTGTAAGTTACATACTCTGAGTATTTGGTGCTAGTCTGAAAAAAAAAAAAAAATGCATAGATCTACATCATAATCTATTCAAAATCAAATCCTATCGAAACTTTCTTTCATTTTTATTTTAAAAAAAAACAACAGAAAAAACAATTATGAATTAAGGCGCAAGGGAGATAATTGTGGAAAACTGGAGTTTTAACCCTCAAAATCCTATTTAACCCGTTAAGTGTGACGTTTTTAAAACGTTAACTACCCCCTATTGTGTAATTGTGACGAAGAACTATGCACTATGTTCTAAGAATAGATTGGGGAAAATACCTCCCAAGACGTTATATTACGCCCTACACACATGACACAGTGAGTAGCAGTTGTCCAGGACGTAATATAACGTCCTATACATGCTGCGATTGTGGGGGAATTCCCCCAAGTGACGAACTATGTTCTAAGAATAGGTTGGGAAAAATACTTCCAAGTCCAAGACGTTAAATTACGTCCTACACACAGTGAGTGGCAGTTGTCCAGGACGTTATATAAAGACCTACGCACTTAACGGGTTAAAGTAGCTACTAAAATCTCAGTATTATCCAAAGTCTTTGACATTGGAAACACGAATTATTTGTCAATTTAAATCAACATTCATAAAATTGATGTTGTGGTCTTACCGAGAAAAGATGGGCTTATGATAGCGGTATGTAAGACAATTTTATCATTGGTACACAAATCGTGAACCATTAAATGCGTTTAAGTGCCATTTGTAAAAATGGACTCAAAGAACGAGGCTAGACATATTCCACAAGTCCTGTCAAACGATGACGTCATATTCTTATCTGGAGAGCATGCGCCATAAACGTTAACAGTGTAGACTAGAATAACCAGATGCTAGAGATTGTCACTCGATTGAGACTTCTGGCGTATAACTGATTTGAAATTAGAGTAAAAATCGAAACAATTGAATGTTAATCAGTTTGTATTCATTCATATTAGTTATTACTGGTACATTATTATATGCCTTGCAACCCATTTGTGTCAATTTTTAGGTCTCAAATATTAGCGATTTAACTCCTTTAATACATAACCTCATTGTTTTGCACCTGTGATTTGATTGAATAGGGCGTTTGATATGATACAATCAAGAGGATTGATTATATGACATTTCAGCCCAACGGTGACAAAGATATATTTTGACGTTTCAATTTTGAGTGCACAACGGTTGAGACTCCGTCAAGAATCAGTTGAAAGGGGTAGTTGAACACAAAAGTAACATCAGTTTATAGTAAACCAGAATCGATTTTATAAAAATAACATGCCGTAAAATGTGTGGCAGTGTAGATTCAAAATTCTATTGTGTTATTGTCTAACCGAACTTCTATTCATGTAATTTGTAATCTAAGACAATGTACATGTATAATCTAATTTCTTTCTTTGTTCCTCGTAAATGGGGCTTCTCTTAGCAATTTTGATTCTATTTCATGTTATTTCTATATTACTGAAAAGAAATTTTTTTCTTCATTGATGCTTTACTTGTTTAGAATGAACATCGAATAAATTAAGAATTTTGATGCATCTAACTTAACAACCATCATTATGATGACATCGTTTTGTGTCATCACCCACTGCATGTACAATAATTTTGTGCAATCACTGCTCAGGCATTGGCATTACCTTGATACTTATATAAGCGATTTATGTATTCGTAGTTTTTTGGTACAGTGCCCCATGGAATCAAAATTGAACTCAATACAGCGAATGTGCACACTACAGTGGCTTGTTTCGAAGTGATTTCTGGCTAGTCACGCGGTGCGATAACACACGGCACAAGAGTCTGAGTCTATAAATAGCCATCGCACGTGAAATTCTCTACACTCGATCAACTATTACAGGTGTAAAAAAACTATTGTTGACAATTCTGAATAGCAGTAATATTTAGCTTTTTGGCTAACTCAGCAGCTTTAGAAATTATGTTCGTTTTATTTTTTAAATTGCTTTGTCATTAACTAGGTGGTACTGGTTATATTAGCAACAGGTATAGGGACCTTGGCATCTCTCGTACTATTGCGGTCAGATCAGGAATGATAAGCTATAGTTCTATGTGGCACAGACGTTATTACATACAAAGGCATAAACTCAACAAAAACTATCATATATTTGTTTGAAATAATGATTGTCATTTATTCAATTTCTTCAACACTTAACTACAATTAGATTATGAACATAATCAGGTGCACAAATGATGGTTGTTGCTAAGTCATGGATTTACATTTCTTGTATACAAAACTAAACGTACATGATAACAAACAACTTAATGGCAAGAGACCAAATCAGCCCACCACTTACTTTTAATACAAACCAGGAATATCCTCTACTTTGGGGTTAATTCAGAAGTTGGTTGATTATTATTTTATTTTGATATATATTCAGGAATTGGAGGCAATTAAGGCCAGAGTAAAGGAAATGGAAGAAGAAGCTGAAAAATTAAAAGAAATGCAAAGTGAAGTAGAAAAACAGATGAATATGTCCTCTTCTAGTGTTGGTGGTACGAACAACTCTTTAAATATTCATAAAAATGAAATGGGGTTTAACGTCCTACTGTTCTGCTCTGACTGGGTTAATGAAAATGGACATATGTCGTACAGTGTGCTATGAGAGAAATTTTGCACAGATAGCAGCTCTATGGCCTACTTTTATATCTTTAACATGCACGCCGATGTGTAAATGGGACCTCAAGTTTTCATCCCATCCAAATGACTAGACAGCTGTCCTTGTCGGTCCCTTCATCCTGCACCACTGATAATGAACTTTCTCGGCCAAGACTGGGATCGGAACCGCGACCTCCTGGCTAGCGAGCCAGTGTCTTACTCACATAATCACTAATTATTCATGATTTATGGTGAATTTGATGGAAATAACATTTTAGTCTGATAACATTTCTAAATGTACATGCCCACACCCGCAAGCAACTGAACAGCTGTCCCTCGAAAAAGGCAGCCGCTGTGGGTTAGTTAGTGTTCAAACTTAGCGTTCATTGAGAGAAGATTTTCCATTCAGGTTTCCTCCATGTCCGTGGTGCAGGAAAGAGGGCCTGGCAAGGAAAAGGTGTCAATTCATGTTTGTTAGATATAATTTCTGTACATCTTATTAATAATATTATTTATTGTTCCCTGATGTATTTTCAGCTGCTTTCCCTACCATAGAAGAAAAAGTTGATGCAGATTCTAAGTCAGTTTACGTGGGAAATGTGAGTATTTTAAATATTTTGTCTGTAAGTATTTACAGTATGTAATTGAAATTTCATGGATTTGTGCAATAGGCCTGTCAACATTTTGTTGTCGACGAAAATTTAATGATGAGTCTGTTTTAAATCCGGCTGGACATTATCTAGCATTAGTATTTAACTTTTGTTTCTTTAATTAAATGTTAAATAATTAAAGAGTACATTTTAGCCCATGGAGCATCCTTACTTTAAATGAATGATTTCTTTTGTAGGTAGATTATGCAGCTACAGCAGAGGAGCTAGAACAGCATTTTCATGGATGTGGTTCTATAAACAGAGTTACTATATTGTGTGATAAATTTACAGGGCATCCAAAAGGGTATGTACCATAGTTACATGTATACACAAACATTCAACTTGTAGTTCTAAACTAATATAAAAGAATATATAAACTAAGTTGACATATGTAACAGGCCTTGAAATGTTTAAAAATAGCTACCTGTCGCAAGTGACATGTAGCTTTTCTTCATACCTGTCGCTTCAGTAAATAACCTGTCACTCTCAATTATCAAACTCAAAGACTAATCACATCACACATATCCATACATGTATGTACACACGCACGTGGTTAGGTCTTTGACGTACATTGCTCTATATAAATATCGTAATATGAAACCTTTTTATTTCTTCGACATCGGATTGCCTAAAAGTTCTTGAAAGTCGGCGAAACTGCTTTGGCTCAGCGACTCGAAGATTCGTACAATTCTATCATCCGTATCCACGTGAATTCCGCAAAGTATCATGGTACCACACTTCCGTACTAAATCGAATACTTCACCGTTGAGTTGTAGAATTCAGATTTTAAAATATCCGTAATAAATTGAATATCAAAACACAAGTCACACCTGTGCATGGCACCGTATTTACATCTACTGCGTGCGAAGGACAGATAACGCCACCTGGGATTCCCTTCTCACATATCCGGACTAAATTTACGCTGCAAATTATATTTATATATGAAATATTTTTCCAACCTGATTTTTTGATTTTGTCAAATTAAATACACCAAGCAACGAGCCGCGTGCATTTCCATTCCAACCACTACTACTGGTACTATATTTACTGTGGTGTCGTTACGGTAGAATTATTTCAGGTGACTTGGGGGTGCGTTTTAATTTATTTAGATATAATACTCCATAATGCTATAAACTAGTGTCAAGCAGTTGAAAACAAGTGTAGATGGTGTGAAATTCGTTGATATAAATTGTCTACTTCCAAACTGTGTGAGTAACTGTAGCCTACGACAGAGCGAAATGTAAACAGTGCAAATGGCGGCTTTTCGCGGTATTTCCGTGTTTAATTCTTGCATTTAGAAACAAATAATTAAATGTACGTGACATGGGCGTGAGTATTGTGGTCAATTTACTGAACATCAAGTAAAATTTAGTCCACCTGTCGCAAGCGACAGGTAGTTTTATTTGCTACCTGTCAGACGAAAAAATCGCCTGTCGGCGACAAGTAGACAGGCGAACATTTCGAGCCATGTGTAAGAATTTTGAAAAAATCTAGTTGTTTGTAAAATGAAATGGGGTTTAATAATTGTTTGTAATACCAGTGTGCATGTGCATAAATAATAGCAAAAGTAGAACAATATAACACATCTCCAAACTATCAAATCAATGATATCTGTTAAGAGTATTGCATCAGTATTTCTACTTATCGAAGTATTGTACATTCTATAGATAGTTTAAAAAAATATTTGGAAATGATCAAAAAATATGTTATGTAACATCTGGACTTTATTCTATCCGTATTACAGTTATTGGCGTAATTGTTCTAAAATGTTAATTGCCAACATTGCTCAAATAATGACAATTCTGTAATCTACAGAGGCATTGTTCGCACAAATGAAGATCTAATTTAAGAAATAAAAAACATGCCTCTAGATATATAGCGACTTTAGAAATTGTATCCCAATATATATTGCTACGACAAAATGAGTCGCAATATATCAATATAACTTGATGTTACCTATCTACCATCCTTGTTCAGTTTCAGCGATGAGTATATTTTAGTAAATTCTATTGCCCTGTAAGTGGCCACAATTGGGTTTTCTCCGGGCCCTCCGGTTTCCTCCCACTGCTAAAGACGCCTACGTGCAAGCAAATTATTGAAATAAAATTAAACCTTATGTTAGTCCCGATATGACCTAGTTTGTGTCGAGTGGACGTTAAACCCCATTTCTCTCTCTCTCTCTCTGTAAGTGGCCATATCTTGGTATGGTTAGCTGTATAATATCCTTTAAATTCTTTCTTGCAGATTTGCCTATGTAGAATTTGCAGATAAAGATTCTATAGCAACAGCCATGGCATTAGATGATTCCTTATTTAGAGGTAGACAAATAAAGGTACTGAAATATTTATTAGATTTGATTGATGAAACGAAGCACAAATGCCTGAAAAAGGGTTTTAAGAACTATTAATGGCTATGCTATCATTTTCACAACCTTGAAAAGGACATGTGGTTTATATGTATGTCTCTTAATATATTAACTGTTGTTTATTTTCAGGTGAGCCCTAAACGTACAAATAGACCTGGTATCAGCTCAACAAACCGACCTCCTCGAAGGGCCAGAAGAGGGGGTAGAGGGGGATTTTATGGTGGTTACCCATCAAGAAGACCCAGATTTCCGTAAGTTTGATTGTAATAAATGTTTAAGTATGACAAAAATATAAAAACTACAATGGAAATGGAGCAGTTGAACCATGTAGAGGGTGTTAGGTTTGCACAGTAAAAGCTTCTTGCTGTTCATAATACACTATAGGGCTGACCTTAAAAATATATTTTCGACTAACGTGAACTACCAACTAATGTGTTGATGAAAATTCACACTACTTGCCTCGCTAAAAATCCTGTTGTCATTGGTATTGATATGTGTGCCCACAAAAAGACAAATGTTTCCAGTCGGAAAAGGATCAAGCTGTTGAATTAGCTCTTCAAATTGAAACAAAGCTATTTTTAATGTCAGTCTAGTGTATATTCTCCTTTAACATTTTAATGGTTGCCTCTAGTTGTTAACTCACATGTATTTTAAATTAGTATATCCCATTGTGTAATTTTGGTATTTGATATTTTTCAGTCGTGTGCGGAGAGCAGCTTATTTTTCGCCATATTGAGGAGCTGGTCAGGTCTTTTTTATTGTTTAAAAAATAAACAAATATCACAAGTCAAAAATAACCAAAATTCAACACTTTCTTTGAGAAAAAAAAAGAAGCCTTGACGTGATAATTTTATACAAATGAAGCATTTTGAAATTACTTCTGCTAAAGACATGCTTCACATTGACAAAAAAACCCATATTTCTATTTCTTCAAAAAATTTCATGAAATTCAAATGCATAAAGATTGACATAAATTTTAAATAATTTCTTTTTCTTTTTCTAGATCTAGAACTTCTATTTTGAGTTCCATCTATTTTACAATTGTTAAAAATCTTTTCATTTTTCTTTTACAAATTGGTCGAAGAGTTTTACCTTTTTTCAAAAGACTAGTTTATTTAATGAATTCACCTATTAGAATCACACATTTAATATTTTGGTTTCATTTGTTTAATCAAACTTCATTTAAACCATTCATCTATAGGTACATTTACCAAAACCCATTTTACTGTAAATATCTTTTTCATTCATTTACATTTGATTTTGACTACTAAAGTATTAATCACATAGGAAAACTTTATGCATTTTTCTATGAAAGTATGTTTGTTGATTTGGTGTTGTGAAAGATTGTGTGTATGGATCCAGAGGAAAAGGGGAAATTTGAATATTCTAGGCAAGAACACTTTCAACAAATCATTTTGCATAATCTAATTATATATACATCCACATTGAAATGTGGTTATGTTGTCACAACCCCTACCGGTCCGTATGTCCTCCACTAGTGCTTGTGAATGCGCTGGATGCTAAAGTTATCATCTGATTGACTTGAAACTTCGGTGAGACGATCTTAATGTCCACAAGAAGATTTTTTTGTGTTGGCACAAGGAACGAGCTCGTCAAATTTGAACTATTTGTAATCAGTACTTCATGGGTTGTTGCTCTTGGTCACTGTAATTGTTCGGTAAATGATCACATCAATTAACCAAAAAAACAACAAAACATGGAGTGTATTTCGTTGCCTGACAACCTATACTTAATAGAAAAGTCAAAGATGTTGACAACTTGGCATGTGTAGAAAAACTGGGGTCAAAATGATACTGTTATTGGATATTGCCCTGGAGTTCTATAGAAAATTTCTTTGGTCATTAATCATAATGCAGTGATAATGTCATAGATATTTCAATTTTGAAATAATTCAATTGATTTGAAACTTCGGGGAATACTAACTGGGTGATGAATATGGAAGAAAGGTGGATGATAATAAATCGTATGAGTTTGGTAATGGTAACTAATGTGTATCTTTTCTTTTCAGCAATTTGTTTTGGAAAAATAACACCCCCCAAAATATCATTCATTAAAAAAAAAAAAAAATGTTGAAAAAAGATAAAAAAAAAAAAATGTACAGATGAATAGAAAAAAAATGTGTAAATATGAGAAATAAAATAAACTTGTTAAATAAACAAATTGACTTGTTTTTATAGATCGATATTTACATGATAGCCTGTAATTGTTTACAAAGATCATGTAATGGTTCATTTGTCAGGGTTAGGTTGCTTATTGAAAACAAAGACTGGGTTAAATCATTTTACTCAATAAAGTGTAAAATGAATATTTTTGTTGTGTTCCTACGAAGGAGATACTCAACCTCTTTTTTGTCGACGATCGGAAACCAGTTGACAATAGCAAATAAAAACTACAAGTACATCATAGTTTGATTTCCTCAACACTTGCTCAAACTCTGAGATGAAAAAGTGTGTGTGGCTTTGTGAAAAAACTTTATTTGTGTCGTTAAATTGTCAGAATATACGCAGTATTACTGATAGCATTAGTATCTAGAGGCACTGGCTCCTAACCATCTAGTCCCAGTGTTGTCCGATAAAGTTCCACGGGGATTTTCCAGCGTTTTTTTCCTAATGTTGGGTGCAGGAAGGAGGGTCTGATAAGGAACGTCTAGTCTGTGTGGAACCAAAATCTAGGTTGATGGGTGTACACATTGACATACACCTTAATAACCAGTAACGGTTGGAATTCCATAAAGAGTAATCGGAAACGCCGTAAATGTTCCCTCATTAGACACTGCATAACGCATGCCCGGCTTTATTATTCCGGTAGGAATAGAACGTTAAACACCACTTATTGGCTTATCTTTCCTCTCGACTCGTTAATTCAATTCAAACACCACATTTTTCCCAAACGTTTAAACGCAACGTTCTTGTGTCGAAGTCTCGGCTTTTAGTCCAGTCAATTTACCAAGAAAAACACTCAACCTAGAACAAATTGCAAAAGAAATGATTTTAATTCTATCAACAACTTTGAATGTCTTAGAATAACATATAAAAAATGTAGAAAAATTCAATAAGTGGAACATTTTCATTTTTCATGATGAAATACACCCTATGACGTGTGTTTGAGATCCCAAATATTGCAATTTTAAGGAATGTTAAGGACATATTGCCAGACAACTGCGTCATTTGAGCACATATCAATACATTCTATTGTTGATAATGGAAGTAAATTATGTGTAGCAATACAAATTATTGGAGACATTTAATTGGCTGATACTAGTAACTAACCCGTTTATCCATACTATAAGTCTGGATAATTGAAATCGTCACGAAGACAAACGCTGTCTAAATTTCTGTGCAATACCTGAACCAATCTGTTTCACAGAGAATTACGAAAGTCTTCTAGTATCTCTGTAAAAGATGACTGTCTTCAACACGTGCAATCACATCACGCGGCGACAATCATTGGCTCAATGGCGCGTGCATTGTTTACATAAGACGTAACTGGTTCGGGCAAAATGGTGTCTTTTACTCATTTTAATACCCATTTACACTAAATAGGAAATATTTTTTACCTACAAATACTTCAAACGTCTTTATTTATTTTTCTAATACATAAAAAAAAATGTTTTAGAATTTAATTTGACGGATGAAAAAAGTTAATATTGGGGACTCGTCAAGTCGCATCGATGTCATCCTTATCAGTGACTGTACCGGCCTAGCGAATATTCACTTCTGATCAGTGTGTATCTGGAAGTGTTAAACGCCGGTCTCCTCTCTCAAAAAGAGCTTGACACAATCCAAAATGCGTTCGTTTGACTCTGTACACTGCTTGGTCAGTTTGACAGTGAAGTGGTAGATATATGCAGAATATATAATATTAATAGCCAACAAATATATAGACCTGTGTAGACCTATTAAAAACTAGTTTTTAAAAAATGAAAAAAAGGTATATATATAAGAAATACGCCTACCAGAGATTAATACTAATAATAATCTTCGAATTGTTGAAAACTTCACTTCCAAATTGTTTCATAAAGACGGTGATAAAAAAAAGAGACGCGACAAGAAAAACAAATCTCGTGTATTATGAATTCCATATAAAAAAAAAGAACCAAACACATGTACGTATTTTTATCGCTGGGGTTCTTAGATAGGAAACCCGATCTCTCAACCCTTTGTGTTAAGAGATGATACTATGTAGTTTACCTGGCTAAAACCCCGTTGCAAATCAGATCTGACTTCTAAAAGAAAACCGACAATTTTTTTCTTCAAAACAACTATTGCTATTTATTACATTTCTGCCACATCACACTACATACAATTAAGCATATAATCCAATCTGACACGGTTACACACCATCTCTTTCAAATCGAAGCGATAATTGATGGCTTAATGTCAGATATTTTAAATTGACGTCTAGTTTCGTCATGAAGGCGGGGCTAAATATATGTCGTGAACAACAGCCAATCAAGATATATATAATGGGATATAATTTACTGACAGTTTGTCTACGATATCACCTTAGGTGGAAGTGGGCGTAAAACTCTAGAAACGAACGAACGGATTACTGACAGTATTTGCAGATAAACGAAAGTTGTCTCACTACATTGGGCTGGGTATGTTTAATTGGTAGTATAAGATTAACTTATTTCTAAGATGTCACATGCATTAATAAAGAAATTAAGTTTGCCGGGTGCAACTAAATCATAGTTAAAAACAAACACATCAACGTTTTTAGCTACGTTATATACACGAGGAACCGAAGAGGCCTGCATTGTATCGAAAAATCAACTTGCTGATTTAAAAAATCGATGGAACTAAACAATTCCTAATTTCAAAGCCAAATTTATATTCACATGAATTTTGACCCTGGATAAGCCATTGGCCAAGTACCGATATTTATTTCTTGACAATAATTATGTCGCGGTAGTGATTATGGAAAGTAGACTACGCCTACTTAGTACTTTATGTTTTCGGTCAGGCTCACTTTTGTAAAATGTATTGCGCGAAATAGAATCCATGACAGTTAGAATTCGAAATTAGAGTAGGTCGTAGTGCCGTTGTCCGAGCAAAATTTCCCTCAAAGCCCAGTCGATATAGAAAAGTAGCATGCTAAACCCATGGAGGTGTTATATTGACTAGAGTGTATGGTGGTCACGTGATCTCGTGCCGACTACGGAGGTTGGCAGCCATTTTACAACCGGGAAGATTTAGCCTACGTTGGCATAACATGCCGGAGAGTTGTTGTTTTGGTTAATTCAATGTCAGGCGAAAAGGGAGTGGATTGTCATTTCATAAGTAGGTAAGATATGTTATAAGTGAAATAGTGATCTAATAGATATAGTATAATCATGATAATTGTGTAAAATAATTTAATAAAAACGGCGAGAAGACGTGGAACACTGGAAGTTTGAGGCCGGAAACCGGGCGGGTCTATTATCTATATTATTAGTACTGATACTTTTATTATGTAATAATTACAAGGTCCGTGCGTTTAGCGAACTTCAAAATTAATGTATATTTAATTATTATGGAAATTGCGCATATTATATATACACACATTTGACAGTGTACGAAAAATATGCTTATTGGAGTGGAGTGTTTAGTCACAGACATGCACTCATTGGCCAGTAGTTGCTTTGCTATCGGTTAGTTTTACTCCCTCGGATTTTATTAATTAGGCCGACATTCATTGTATTTTTACTCTGTGATATACACCTCTATGGCTCAACCCCATTTCATTTCTTTTCCCATAAAAATTTTGTCGAGATTGGTCTGCCGTAGGAAATATTGGATCCCTGACTGTAGACGCGATTGTCCATATCCATTTGCAGATTATTGGATTATTGACAGATTATGTAAAATAGCTAAATATTCGATCACAAATGGCATTTTTAATTACCTTTCAGTGCTTTTCCCAATTTATCTGATTATTTTGGGCGAAGTCTGATCAAAACTATTAATTAAACAAGTCAAATTAAAATCATAAATATTAACTGCGCAGGTGCGCTTTCTAGACGGAAACCGCCATTTTAGAAATTCTACTTAGCCGGTAGACATGTGAACAAAGTTATATTAAAATAACTCGATTGTCATTGAAGAACTGACTTTCTTAATTATTAATAATTAATAAGTAATATACATTCTATACTGTAGATAGAATTGAGAAGCTATGGATAACAATGAAACAAATCAGACGTCTTTGAACAATTCCGATGCAAGTCGGCTCATGCGAGAATTAAATGCTCATCTAAATCAATCAAACGGTGCGTGACTATCAAAAGCTAACTAATTACGACCTTTTGGAATTACTTGATTCTATGTAAACATGTTTCATTAATTATAGAAATGTTTGTGATAAGAATACATAATAGCAAGTAAAAGATCTATTATAGACCCGCAAAAATTAATCTCAAATAGCCTTGTGACAATTTACACTAAGTCCAAATAGTGACAAATGACAACAGATTTTCTGAGGACTTTAACATCACTGGGATGACCACCGTCCCGCAAAATACTTCCTACTCCCAGGTCCCGATAACCAGCCATATGTCCCGCAAACCAGCTAAAATGTCCTGCAATTGCTCACATGAAAGATTTCTAATATGTGATTGAATCTAGTCTCGCGGGGTGAGAAATGGATGAATGATGAAAGTGATTAGGAATTCTTCAATTAATGTGTCGTCCGCTACACCAGCAAATTTAATCAAATTGTAGTTTCCTTTGTTCTTTCCATGCCAGTTTGCAATGCTTATGTTGAGCACATATTTTCACTGGTGAGCAGAAAATAAGAGGGTTTTTGAGTAACATATATTTTTTTTCTGAAATGTCCCACATTATCATGATCAAGCAAAGGTGGTCACTCTAAACATCACTCGTTCTCTGATCAAAGTCAAAGGCCCAATCTTTAAGGTCATACACAGAGTTTTAGTCCATAATTAATAAAATAAATAATAGATATGTCAGTATCCAATGGGGATAGTAAAACAAAAGACCACAATTGACAGATAAGGCTTGCCAGGATATTCATAGTTTCTTGTTTTTTTGTAGATTCTTCTATGGATGGCTTTACAGGGCTGCAGAATTCTTCAGACAGGTATTTACAATATGTAACCTTTGTTTCAAATGTGCATAAAAGAAACTGCATTTTAATGGAATACCGTACTCATAATGTTTACATATGTAAACAATAAATGTTAACTCGAGTTGTTCATTCAGAAATTGAACGAGAATGTTGTCACTGTTGAAAGACATAATGCAAATTATCTAGATATTAGTTTGCCCATTTCTTACAGAACATAGTTGGTATTTGTTACATGGTTGTACAGCCGCTTGTGAACAATATTGGTAATCTGCAGCTTGAAGCCTCTCGCAGAGATAAAATTTTGATATTTCATAAACTGTAACTTCTATATCACGAGACACTTCAAAAGGACATGCTAACCCCTTTTATATCCTATTCTAACTAGAAGAATGAAAAAAACTTATTTAGGTCCTATATTTTGACATGGTTATGTTCTCTTTTTTTTTTCCAGTGATATCAAAATGTCGGGAGATGGAAGTAGACAACAAACTTTAACACAGTTGATGAAAACAATGTACAATTCAGCTCCAAGACAGCAAATGTAAGAAATTGTTAATAATGTACCGTATACCATAAGTATGGTACCGGTCAGTTGTAAACCTGACAAGAAAATGCTGAAAAACTTCCTTGGCTGAGATGAATTAAATACCTCCTTCTTAGTAAGCCAGTGTCATACTCACTAAGACACTGTGACTTCTTTTTTCAAAGACGCCTGAGCAGTTTCCTTTTGTGCCACACCTGACAGTCCAAGCTCCTATTACTATTTGATCCAGTTTTAAATGTGGTATGGATTCTATTTTTTTTTCAGAGTACTTCAAGGCAATGATAAGACCAATAGTTTTAGTGTATATGGACAGGAAGTAGATATTTTTACAAGTGCTATAAATACTAGTCAAGTATCAGCGGGCAGTAATAAGGTCAGTATTCTGAATAAAACATAAATTCTTGTAGCACTTTGTGAATTAACCATAATCTCTTTCAAATGTCACTCATGATCACATGGTTTGGAGTACCAGGATGGATGTTCAGTGTCAAATTTTGATTGTTTATCCCAACCAACCATGTAGCGAATTACAAAGAAATCAACATTAAAGTCTCAATACCACTCTTGTTGCAACTGAATAATATGTCCCAATCTTTATTCTAGTCAACAAATTGTACTATTTTACAATATTCCAATTAATTGATGATACAAATTTCATCTTAACACACCTTATTTAAAAATTTTGAAAAATTCAACATAATGGTTTGAAACGTCTAACGTAAACCTTTTCAAATGAAACTTGGATTTAAAAATATTTTCGAACCCTCTGGACAAGTAAAATAGGATGTAATGGATAATTTACACAACAGGTAGGACACTTAAACATCTAGTACTTAGATAGAGATATTATTTATTTTCTGGAGCTTTCAAGCCAGCAAGAGTGTTATTGTCCCTTTAAATAGAGCTTTGAATTTACTAACAAAAATGACAATACTAACTAAATTTTATTGTTTTAAATAGCAATGAATTGTAATATTAATCCCATACTACTTACTAGTCTGCTTTATCATTTGACATTAAAGATTGATCAGTACTGTCAAGAATACTGTGTTAGAAAAGAATGAATTTGATTGGCTAGTATGAATTTAACAGTATTAAAGATTGACTAGTACCGTAAAGAATATTGTAGGAGTAAGGAATGAATTTGTTCAATAGCTATTTGATTGGACCGTATGGACTTATCAGTATTAAATATATAGAGAAAACCTCTCAATTGAAAATGTTTTCATATTTAACAGGTAAAGATTACGCCAGTTGTGAATTTTGATTGGGATCCGAAATACTATATCGGTCATCTAGTAGCAGTCCATAGGGATAATACATATATGGCATATGTAATTAAAGGTTAGTTTTTAAATTCAAATATTTGGGAGAGAGAGAGATATTAACGCCCACTCAACACAAACTTGCGTGCAGGGGTCTTTAACAGTTGGAGGAAATCGAAGGACCCACAGAAAAGCCACAAAGTTGGACAGGCAACTCTATTCCTTATAAACCATTCAGCCATCCACGATTCCCCCCCCCCCCATAAAAAAAAATATTTGACACCCAGAATTGTGTCAATAGCCACTGATTTAATAAATTTTTCACAAACCAAAAATTTTGCTTTTCCTCTGTTTTTCAGCAATCTAATTCAGATTTGTTTATTTTAGGTAAAACTGGAGGCAATATTCGTATTATAAATCGTAAAACAGCCGACAGATGGTTGATAAAATGTGTAGAAGGAAGAGTGGTAGATGTTGCATTTGCCCATTCTGATGCTGTTATTCTAGCTGCTGTTGATGAAATTGGTAATTTATATGTCCATGAGATGCAAGAAATCGATGGAAAAACTATGTATCCTTTGATAGTATCTTACAAATCCACTCATTTCTGAATGATAAATTTCTTTGAAATACACTAGAAGATAATTCTGCCCATGAACATACTGAAATATGAAAATTGATGCTAATTGGAGAAAGCATCGATTATGAAACTGAAGGATTGGAATGTTTTTATTGTCTGGTATTATAGACCAAAACAACAAAATTATCTAATTTTGCAAATTTCAGCAGTTCCGATTCATGAAGCAAAACAACAGTGCTTGTGCCAATGCTAAATTCTTCCTCTTTTATAATGTTATTCATTGTGGGAAAGTATTACATCATTAAATGTTATGACATCTATGTTATCAAAATATTCCTTGACAGTAAACAGTAATACTTTATTACTAAATGTACAAAGACCAGAGAACACAGCTCCCTCAGAATATCATCGTGTTATATGGTGTCCATATATACCAGATGATTCTGAAGACACTTTAACAGATACATCTAATCTTGATTCATCTAGAGTACTTGTTCTAACACATGATGAACGAGTAAGTTTCAATTTTTAAAAAACTGCAGATATGTCATTAAACAATCTCTTATAATAGAGATTACATTTAATTCAAATGCATGGGTTTATTTTAGGAGCATTATGGTTATTGGGGTTGAAGTAGAGTATTTCACTCATTCCAGTTTTCACATACTATAGTTTGTGAAAATAAAAGTGGAAGTATGCAAATTAAACACAATTTGGCCTATTTACCAAAAAGTTTCAGCTCAAATATTGACTACTTTGGAAATGATCTCCAAAAGAGTTTGTGGGAGCTACTCTTTTATGCATTACTTCATAAATATGACTCTACATGGTAATTGCTGGACAAGAAGCTTGTCTTCAAATCAACCTGACATCCTAGTCTTTAGAATGTTATCACAGAGCTTAACATGATGCGTAGGAATATAATGAAAGCTTCTAAGGGTCTTCCACTCCTGAATTAACCAGTAATGTTTACTAGAATGTACCTTGGAATTTTCCTCTTAAATATGTTGCATGGATAAACCAAAACCAAATGTAATTGTCTCAATCTCTTTAGTTGCACCAATGTAAAATTCCGCCATACAAAAAGGGAACCCCATAGTTTCTAGATTTCTGATATAGTTCATTATGCAGTACGGTTAATCAGCTTTCTTTCAATTATGGGGATTACGGTGGGTAAAATGCTGGCTCGCTAGCCTTGAGGTCGAGTGTTTGATCCCTGCATTGGCCGAGAAAGTTCATCCAGTTTTTTCGGCGTGGATCTCCCTGTCAATGGTGCAGGACGGAGGGCCTGACAAGGACAGTTGTCTAGTCATTTGGATGGGATGAAAAACATTGGCGTGCATGTAAAAGATCCCTTGACAGTTGGAATTTAATATAAGTGTAGGCCGTAGTGCCGCTGTCCGGGCAAAATTTCCCTCATAGCACACTGTATGGCCTATGCCCGTCTTCATTAGCCCAGTTCGGAGCAGAAAAGTAGGATGTTAAACCCCATTTCATTTCTTTCAATTATGATATAGTAATATGAATCATTACAGGCTGAGATATGGAGTATTGATATGATTAATAGAGATTATGGTGTTGGACCTATTAATCCACATGACGTAGAGAATGGTATGATTTCTATAGACAGTCATGACAAGGTAAATTCTTGATTTAATAAAACAAACTTAATTGTAGTTTGTTTCAGGGCTTCCACTTCAAAATTTTCACTGCCGGTCATTTTTGATAACGCACGAAAACCCATGGTTTGTTTAGTGCTTGCACAGATTTATTTTTCTTAAAAAGGAATGCTCTCTGAGAATCAATTGATCTTTTGGAACCACTGTAAATTGGATTTGTTGATGCATTATTTCATTCCATTTTTTTTTTTTTAAATGTAGCCAATCATTGACGCAGCTTTTTCTCCTGATGGTACAGCACTTGCGTCTGCTAGTTTAGATGGAGAAGTCAAGTTCTTCCAGGTTTATTTATTTGAAGGAACATCACCAAGGTAATTAAACGTTTAGTTAAATTATGTTGTGTAATAATTCAAATACACCCTTACGAAAAGCATTGATTTCAAATCTTTAAATCAATTTATCTGGCCTGGCAGGCAGTCATAGTCAATTGTATTAATGTATTTTTTATTGCATCTTTCTAAATACTATGTTTTATTATCTTGCTAGATGTTTACATCAGTGGAAACCCCATGATGGAAAACCAGTGTCTTGTTTGTTTTTCTTAGATGATCATAAAAGTTTCAGTCCCGAGTGAGTATTGCTGTTTATCAAAATCATAGTCTATTATATTTGAAATAAGCCAGTTACATCTACATGTATTGTATTTTACGTTTTCTTTCAGCATAATTTTGAATTAATATTGTAAACTCAGATTTTATATTACTATAATTTGAAATTCATATTGTATTGTGAGATTTTATATTTAGATATTTTGTATTAATTTGTCGTTTTATTTTGAAGTGCTCAATTGTGGAAGTTTGCTGTAACTGGTGCTAACAAAAATCAAGAATTAAAAGTATGGAGTTGTGAATCTTGGAGATGTCTTCAGACAGTTAGGTACATAAAATCTATATTCTTATTGTCTGTTTCAAACTATTTTTAACTTTATCGAATCGAGTGAGGAAGTTTTGTTTTTTTGAATGGTCCCGATTTTGTTTCTTGGTCAAATATCATAAACCATTCAAGATATCTTTATGAAACTTTGTACAAAAATCAATCTATTACAGTAGTCATGCCTTTTGGTAACTAGAACTTTCTCACATTTGTTAATTTCACATAGTTTTTGGTATACAAAGTTTGGGATATTGGTGACCGAGCTGTTTTGTATTGTTTTATCTTCCAAATAATTATTTAAAGTTACCGTTTTATTTAATTTTATTCCCCTGGATTAGAAAATGGGTGTAAATTGTTATGTCTTCTTGAATAATATTTTAATTATAAATACATGTAACAATTTTATTATTGTAGATTTTTGAATCCACCAAATGTACCGTCCAATTTTACACAAGATCTGTGTTTAAAAGCTACTATGGATCTGAGTGCTCGTTACTTGGCTTTATCAGATACCAATAAAAAGGTAAAAAAAAAACACCTGTTCATTATCAAGAACTTTTTATTTCCACAAATTAAAGAACAGAATTTTTGCGAACAGCTTAAAATTGTTAGCATTTGAAACCCCAAAATAGCATCTTTACAGAGAATAAACTGAACAGTAACTAAAAAAAAAATGTTACTCTCTATTTTTTGATACCTATGTTGATTTTAAAAGGCCAAACCAATTTATTTTTGTTCTTGGTACGGTAGTCATAATTAAATAGCCACTCTAGTCGTGTGAATGATGTTTTGTTTCAAATATAAAAACTTAAAAATTTTGAACTGAAAGCTTTTGCAAAGAGTAACCATGTACTTTTTACTTTTAAAATGGTGGGACGAATTGAAATTTTGATAGTCTTTCGTGAAGAGCAAAGTGATATTGGTGTGACCTAAGAAGTGTTCTTCAGAGTGAGAGACAACCCATCGATTTCTCTCCTGCTGATTAACCTGTTAACCATTGATATATTACAGGTATTATATATTCTACAACTACATGAAGATACATCATCTAATTCAGCTCATATTAGTTCTATATCAGAATTTATATTAGCTCAACCCTGTCTTTCTCTAGCTATACTTGATGCCAGTAAGAAAAGATTTAAAAGATCAGCTAATGATACACACTTTGATGAAATTACTACAGGTAGGTGATCTTATTTAGATGTGGGGGCTACATTGCTCAAGCAGTAAAGCATTGGCCTCTCAACTAGAATACAGCGGGTTCGAATCCTGGAGTGTTCAGAGACAAACCTTCAGGAATTTTCAAGTTGGGTATTCACTCGTCGGGGTGGCACTTTCAAGCAAAGTATTCCAGTCATTTGAATGGGACAAAAACTGAAGTTCACTCACGTACACGTTTGCGTGCACTTAAATGATTATTGGCATCTGGAATTCAAAGAATAATAAGAAGATATACTCTTCATATTGCAAATGTATCTGCAATGAAAAATACCAAATCTTTGTCTCGAATGACTGGGATATTGTTTTGACAAAAAATGTGATTTATTTTGATTTAATTGACACCATGTTAAGGATGTTAAGGGCTGACAAGACGACTGTGTCGAGGCTTTGAGATATAACAATAAAAATTGTACTCATAACAAAAGCTATGTGTAAAACAATTTATTTGTTTTGAAACCACTGATTGAAATCTGAAATATTTAGAACCCCTTGCAAACTACATTATTGTGAAAGTTGAAACTCTAAAAGGAATATCAGTCAAAAAATGATGATCTTGATATTTTAATTTGATAATTAATAAGGACATGTATCTTTAAAGTAAATTTGAGAATCTGGCATTCATTTAACAGAAAAGAACTCCTAAAAATTGGAAATCAGTTTGTTATTTATGTAATGGCATACTTTATGTTGATTAAACATACATTATACAAGAGCTAATCTGCCAATTGCAGGTCTTTCTTTAGGTCTGAAATGTTTTCTAAATTTTTAATTAGATATTAATTAACTTATCCAGGCCATAATCAACTCTCGATGGCATCGGATATTAAATAGATTAGAACAGTTAAGCCATATTTTGATTTAAGCTAAAAATGGAGGAGCAAGACTTAGCTTCGAACAATCAGTACGGTGGTTGAAATTATTGCACACGTCTTGTCAAACCTTCAAAGGCTAATATCTTCGCTCGAAAAAGAGTAATTTGAATGAAATTTTAAAATAATTCCTTTTACATTATCTATTTTCGAACTATTATAGCAAGAATGACTAGCTCTTTATCTAAATCTTACATAATGTATCTTGTAAGTACAATATTTAGATAAATTTGTGTATGGTCATTGAATTTATTGGTTTTTACTAGGAGATTTAGTTGATGACAATGATGATGAAGATCAAGCAATGGTACCTGAAACAACAGGTGTACAGATCAGACTCTTTTCTGTTCATACAAAGTATGTTTTCTTTTATTGCCTAATATAAAGTTTGTTTTATCATGTAGGGTGTTTTTGAAACATAACAATGTGTAATGGGCTTTCCCACTTGTCCCCATTCTCAAAGTAGTCATTGACGAACACATTGGCACCAGCTAGAAACTGTATACTTAATATTGACTTGGGAATAAAATTAGGAGTAATACACTCGGTTTATTATGATATTATGAACCTGTTTCAGACAGGTGAGGTATTACCTGTCATTAAGAGTATGTGTATCCTATGTTAAATCTTTCATATCTTACTTTCAATTAATTATAGCCTTCATTTTAGTCCGTTATCTTGTAATACAAGCAGGGGGGTTGGATGGCCTCAATGGTTAGTACGTGTGCACTGTTTTATAAGATCTGTCATTAAGTCAACTGGCATGGTTTCGATTCCCCTGTTGTATATGCAGTAACAGAATCAACACTTGCAATATTACTAAACTTGCAATATTACAGTTGACCTCGCATATGTCGGATTCGTATTAGTTGGATCTTCGCTCAAATCGAATAAACTTGTTAGGACCCTTTGGTCCTGCACTTTTTTCTTATTAAATTTATGCGCGTAAGTCGAATTTCCCAAGTCGGATCTTTGCTCAACTCGGATCAAAATGTTCGGTACATTTGATCTAATTCCGGCTTTTTTCTTTCGCCTAAGTCGGATCGGCAGTATGTTCACAACATGCTGTTCAAAATACCTCCCCCTCCGCCAAACGCCATTGAAATCCAAATACAGGGCAACGCATAAATTTACACAACTCAAACATATAAGACGAAACGAAATTGGAATTTTTGAAAAAATTTGATTGTAATTGGGCTAGGCCATGCAATAATTGACTGAAGTTTCTCAGCTTTTAAAAGATTCTAATTTTCCCCCACCCCAGCTTACCTAAATTTCGTTTCGTTTTATATGGCCGAGCCACGTAAATCCGAAGCGCCACCCCACATCTAGACCTCAATGAATGGCGTCCACCAAAGCCAAAGGGGACGCATATTTAACAGCATGTTTTGTTGCACATACTGACTCTAGCGAGGTAAGCAAGGTCTTATTTTCTCACTAAAATGTTCCTTTACATTGTTAAGGTGTTCACAGAGACTGACCCACGACTAAAGCAGTAAAAAGTTGCCCAGTAAAATTGACTGGGAACAGATTTTATTTTGACAAGGATTCAATAGGATGGTTCCCGAATGTACATTGCGATAATGAAACCTACGTTCAGAGCTCAACTAGGTCTTCGGCTAACTCGGATCTTCGCTTAACTCCGATAAAATTGGTCAGTTCACTTAGATCCGACTTATGCGAAGTTTACTAAAATTATATTAAGCATTACCCATTAAAGAATTTGTCTATCCCAATTGATAACTGACCACATTTGAATGAACCAAACGGTAGGTTATGCAAAATAAGATGCAATTTTATGGGAATGGAAGTTGTAGGTACTGGTTCTCTGACACTTTGATTATATTTTCAGATCATTACAAGAGTTACTCATACGTTATAAACCCGAATGTTCGGTACCACAATCATCTTCACCATCTGTTAGTTCACTTTCAATAGATGAAACAGGTAGGAAGTTTTCACGTAAAAATACATGTAAAATTTTATAGTCTAGAATGAATTGTACTATGTTGAGTTTTACGGTATCTAAATAATAGTACGTGCAGGAGGACAGCACTGCACATAAACAAATACATAAGACAAACCTGAGGACAAGACACACAAATACACAAACACTGCAAGCAAAAAAAACCCAGCAAAGCTATATAATCAAATCAAATGAATGTATGTGAACCTGTAAACATAGAGGCTTTAAAAAACAAATTTACAACAGAGTAAAACATTCAAGAATGAATACAAGAAAGGCTAATAAAAATGACGCATGTTCATAAAATATCATCAACTTTTGAAGAAAGACCCTGAAAAGTCAGCAGTAGCCTGTGTTTGGGTTTGTAGATACCTAAGCATGTGATATTGTCTAAACATCTTGCAGCGTAGGGCACTCTGACAATGTTATTCTGAGTATAACCCAAATATTGTGATTGACGAGACATTTACTAAAAAATAGCGAAATGCAGAAATGAATGTGGACAGTGTACCGTTCTGTAATTCACCTGTGCTGACATACATAATTAGTTAAGACAATAATGTTGTTTTTTTTTATAGAGTTATGAGCTTCATTATCTGATATAAGTTTGTTATTTGATAAGGTTACGAGTTTGTTATTTTATAAGGTTACACGTTTGTTATTTTATAAGGTTACGTGATACATTATCTGATATAAGCATGTTATTTTATAGGTTTACGAGGTACGTTATCTGATATAGGTTTGTTATTTTATAGGGTTACGAGATACATTATCTGATATAAGTTTGTTATTTTTTAAGGTTACGAGTTTGTTATTTTATAAGGTTACGTGATACATTATCTGATATAAGCATGTTATTTTATAGGTTTACGAGGTACATTATATATCTGATATAGGTTTGTTATTTTATAGGGTTACGAGATACATTATCTGATATAAGTATGAGTGTAGAGGGTAACAGTATGAGTATGGCCGAGGCCGATAATAGTAGTCATGTTTTAATGACACCTGAAGCTTTCACATCCCATACTAATAGTCCAAGGTTAGTTTTTTTGTTTTAAAAAAAAAAAAATTATTTGCTCCTTAAATTGATCATTAATCTTAAAAAGGTTTTCAAATGAATTCAGTTACTGATATCAGATCCAATTTTTTTAAGAAATACTGTAAACGCTAGGGAGACGTTGTCTCGCTGACCTGGACATCCCATGGTCGATCCTGGTGTTTCCATTTGAATTTTTTTCTCCATGTTAGTGTTGCAGGACACAGGGCCTTCCAAGGGACAATGCATAGCAGTTTGGATTGGACAGAAAACCATTCTTGTGCATGTAAAAGAACCCTTGGCACATGGAATTTGATATAGAGTAGGCCATAGCTCTGCTGTACGGGCAAATTTCGCTCATAGCATACTGCATGGCGTATGCCCGCCTTAATTCGCCCAGTTTGAGCAGAACCGTAGGATGTTGAACCCTTTTTCATTTCATTTCTTATGGTACAAGATATAGAGCTTGAGACAATTATTTTATTTATTTACAGTAAACAATCATTGGATGGTGGTCTCCGTGGATCTTTATCAGATACTAGTACATTTACTCATGTTACAGCTATGAATGATGACTTAGTCTCACCTCATAGTTCCACAGACATTTCTATTGCCTCTCCTGGAAGTACGCTGCTGAATACACCCAATTCTGTAAGAGATGGTATCTTGAATCAGAGTCAGGAATTGACACCAAGTAGTGTTCCACTACCTCCAATAACATCCGTTGAGGAAGATGAACTAGCTACGCCTAAGGGTTTGATAAAAAGTGATAAAACAGACACGCCCCCTACAAATCCCAATCCACAGTTATCTGCTCTTGAAGAATTCTTCAATACGAAGGGTAGTAGTACCAGAACAATGCAGTCTTTAGAATCGACATCCAGCAGTACAGGTGGTTTTGAATCTGAAGCAAAAGTGAAAACTCCGCGTAAAACAACAGGTGATATGTATGATGAAGATGATCAAGAGGTTGCCGATGTTTTAGGTGTACAGATCAGAAATAATAGTGAAGGAGATATAGCAGGTACCGGAGAGTTTTCCCAACAAGGGGAAATAAGTAATGGAACGCATGTACCTACAGCATGGCCACAACCACCAGATGTTAGTATAGAAGCTAAAAGACTGGTCGCTGATACTATACAACAAGTGTAAGTGCTTTAAAGTCTTCTTTAAACATACATTATGTATGAGCTAAATCTGCCAATTGCACGTCTTTCTTTAGGCCTGAAATGTTATCTAAATTTCAGACATTAATTAACTTATCCAGATCATAATCAACTCTAGATGTCATCTCTAGCCTGCAATATTTTCTGGATTAGAATCCTATCTGCTGCTTAACGCTCATTGATAATTAAATCAAAAAATGGATAATCAAGACTATGTTTTTTATCATACCAACTTTAGTTATGATGATGGAGGCTAGCCCCAAAATTCAATCGCTAAAATCTCAGTTCAGAGTGGATCAATTTGACTGAAATTTTCAGCAAATTGCCTTTACATTATTTAGTTTTTAACTATTATAGTGAGAATATATAGACCATAACAGCACAGTTTTTTACATACCCATATTTCAGTGAGGAAGTATTATGTCCTCACCCATTTGGGTTGTTAACATAATACCAAACTAAATGGGTGAGGATATAATACTTCCTCACTAAAATATGGGCTGGAGGTCGGGTGTTCGATCCCTGCATTGGCCGAGAAAGTTCATCACGATTTTCCGGCTTGGTTCCCCTTGTCAGTGATGCAGGACGGAGGGCCTGACAAGGACACCTGTCTAGTCATTCGGATGGGACGAAAAACCAAGGTCCCGTGTACACATTGGCGTGCACGTAAAAAAATCCCTTGACGGTTGGAATTCGATATAAAAGTAGGCCATAGTGCAGCTATCCGGGCAAAATTTCCCTCATAGCACACTGTATGGCGTATGCCTGTCTTCATTAGCCCAGTTCGGAGCAGAACAGTAGGACGTTAAACCCCATTTCATTTCATTTGTTAACATGATACACTACACTTGGATATTGTGTAGTTGTTCATTAGTGGCTGTTTATGTATTTAATGTTTAGTTTGAAACCATGGGAGGCAAACTGTTCAAATTTATTGAGAATTGTCAAAATATATTGGGTTCCTAATGTTGTGCAGTTGAAAATGGTCCATCTAGATTAGATAATGAGTGTTGGGTTTACAACTGTTGACTTTCACTAGCAGTGGTGAGTAATTGATTAGTATGTTTATTACTCATCACTGCTAGTGAAAGTAAACTTATGGGGTATGCTGCTTTTTTTTTTTTTTTTTTTGAAGCTTATATATCATAATTTCAAGGTACAAAATTATTACTTAAATAATTTATTGTACTGTTACAGTCAGGTTACCAACGATGATGAAGATGATAGAGAGATTGATGAAGAAATAGAAGATGTAGAAATAGAAGAAGTTAAAGATGAGGAGGAGGAGGAGGAGGATGATGGTGATGATGAAGATCAAGATGATAGAGGTGGTGAAGGTGGAAATACATATAGACTTCCAGTTCATGATGTTCATAAGAAGTAAGTTATAAATGTATATATATGGATAAAAAAATTCCAAAATATGCGTGGCAGTTTGTTGTCATTTTAACATCATGGTGAAAGAAAAACGATTAAGCATTGATGATAATATATAATATAATTGATTGTTTTTTTAGCTAGAGGAGTGTTATCTTCGTACTTAATTCTTTAACATAAAAGCCATAAAAGAATGTATCTAAATAAAGCATGCATTTCTTTTTATAATAGTTGAAAAATAGATAATGAAAAATTGGTATATTGAAAATTTTGGTCAAATTACTTTATTCTGAGTGAAGTAATGAGTGTTTGAAGTTTTAACATAAATAGTCTTGATTGTCAAGTATCATTGTTATGGTAATAAACAAAGTCTTGAATATCCTTTAAATTATGAAATAATGCAGGAGGGTTAATCCATTTAATATCTGGGCCATCCGATGGTCTAGAGATTTGATTATGGGTTTTTCTTGTGAAAAATGTCTAAATAATGATTTATAATATTTGAAGCCAGAAAAAATACCCACAATAGACAAAATTAGCTCTTACATAATGCATTTTTATACGCCCACATTAAAATGTGGTCGTATATTGTCGTCGCCCTCGTCCATCGGTCCGGCGTCCACAATTGCTTGTGGACGCTCTAGAGGCTAAAGTTAATATCAGATTGACTTTAAATTTATATACAGTGTTTAAGGCCATGAAACGAAGAATCCTATTGATTTTCAGTGATTTCCGATAATTACTGCCAGAGTTATGGCCCTTGATCACTTCAAAAAATCTTGTGGACGCTCTAGAGGCTAAAGTTAATATCCGATTGACTTTAAATTTATACACAGTGTTTAAGGTCATGAAGCGAAGAAGCCTATTGATTTTCAGCGATTTCAGATAATTACTGCCAGAGTTATGGCCCTTGATCACTTCAAAAAATCTTGTGGACGCTCTAAAGGCCAAAGTTAATATCCGATTGACTTTAAATTTATACACAGTGTTTAAGGTCATGAGACGAAGAAGCCTATTGATTTTCAGCGATTTCCGATAATTACTGCCAGGTGGATTCTCTACAGGCTAAAGTTAATATCCTATTGACTTTAAATTTATACACAGTGTTTAAGGTCATGAGACGAAGAATCCTATTGATTTTCAGCGATTTCCGATAATTACTGCCAGAGTTATTGCCCTTGATCATTTAAAAAAAAAAATCAAAGTTAATATCCGATTGACTTTTAATTTATACACAGTGTTTAAGGTCATGAGACGATGAAGCCTATTGATTTTCAGTGATTTCAGATAATTACTGCCAGAGTTATGGCCCTTGATCACTTTGAAAAATCTTGTGGACGCTCTAGAGGCTAAAGTTAATATCCGATTGACTTTAAATTTATACACAGTGTTTAAGGTCATGAGACAAAGAAGTCTATTCATTTTCAGCGATTTTCAATAATTACTGCCAGAGTTATGGCCCTTGATCACTTTAAAAAATCTTGTGGACGCTCTAAAGGCCAAAGTTAATATCCGATAATAACTGCCAGAGTTGACTTCAGATTGATACACAGAGTTTAAGAGCTTGAGACGAACAAGTATATTGATTTTCAATGAATTTTTATGACTTGAACAGCTAAATCCATGATATTAAAAGTTTTGTATACTAAATGTTAGCATGGGGTAGAACTTTATAAATACCAAACAAATTCTAATGGTTTTCTGATAATTACTTCATGAGTTGTTACTCTTAATCAGATTTTAGTGTATTATAAATGTTTCATTACCGAAAGAAGTAAAAATATGTGACAACACTTGTTGACTGCCCGGACGATTTACCTGCTGTGGGCGTATGTTTCGTTGCCTGGCAACCTATCTTTACTGTTGTAGGTGACATATAATTCATAAATTTCTTAATCGCATTTACAATAAATCAGAAATGAAATCTTTCCATAATTTCAGCTCTAATGTGATTCAGATTATAAGAGAGACTAAAGAAGTTGTTGATAGACAAACCCTTTCTGAGGTAATTATGAATGTAGTACGGTAACCTTTTCGCATTTCGCATTAAACTTGCATTTAATATCACAAGAATCTAATAAAGTGAAAGACTTTACTTTGTTTAGTAAACATGTGGTGTGGTAGTAGTACATGTATTCCGGATTGGCTGTAATCTTTAACAAAAAGTGAAGCTGATCGTATTGCACACAGAAATATCCCTTAAAATAGATTTTTAATTTTAAAAATTTAATGTGTATCAAATTTTTGGGCATGGATTAAAGATACATTTCCGCGTACAAACTGGGTGATTTGATGATATATTTGGACTAAAAACATATTCAAAATAATTAATTTATCATAATTTTGCTTCAAATCCTTCTCAAAACATTGCAATTGCCAAGGAATACCCTGCTATAAAAATCGATCAAAAGAGGTCATGTTTGTGTCACATGACTTACCTCTCTCGCTACCTATAGCAACGGGGGCGAAGTCGGAGGAGAATTCATTGTATGCACAAGACGATGTTGTCTTTAATTGCTGACTATTTATTACAAATATCCAATTTTAATTAAATTCTCGAATTATCCACTGCCCGCGTCTTTTTCTGTGATTTTTATCTGAGAAATTGTTGCACATCTAACTCTTCATAAAGTTTACATTTTTGTCTTGTATACGCTTCATGAGTGTTTTTCAGGGAATCCAGTATTTTTCTAGTAAGATTGGATAACTCTACTTTCCATATATACCAAAATTGCCATAATTTTATTGGAAATAACCACCCGATTAATACTTTTCTGGGAACCTATCTTTAAATGAAAGTGATAAATGAAATAGTTAAACGTTTCTATTTCGGCTGCTATTATGTTATTCTTATGTACATTTTGATATTTTCAATATTTGTCTGGCTGTGCAGGATTACTACATTTTTTGTACCCTTGTGGTTTCCTCCTGTCAGTGGTGCAGGACGGAGGATCTGACAAGGACAGCTGTCTAGTCGTTCGGATGGTATCACTATACGACTGGTACGGTGGAATCTCGGGTAAATAGCGTTATCTAATCTATGTAGAATTATTCATAAATATCATTGAATTTGGCCTAATAGCATTCAATTTGTCCTTGTATACAACTTAAATCTCAACGTGCAATTTTGATTACCAAGCGTTAATTAACTAGTGTTTAGTTTGTAATATAGTAATGCTGCCGTGAAAACGTGTAGATGTATAATGTACAGGCCGGTTTGAATAACAACAAAATGAGTTCGGTAATCTCGGGGGAAAACATTTTCCGGCATTCTGTATCGGTTAGGATTTTTTTCTAACGCACTGTACATGCATATAACGTCGGCCAAAATGTATGCAACAATGAACAACTTACAATTTTTTTACAACGTATCATTACATCTTCGTCTATAAAATCCAAACTTTAAATTATATACGTCATACGATGAGCTTGCAGCTTCAGTTAATCTAAATCAATCATTCACAGAGCACTCGATCCACTCCACGGGGCGCTTAACGGTAAGTCACGCCAAATGATTGGGACTATATTCTTAGTCTGTCTTGTGTTAATCGGCGACAAATCTCCGCTGTGACAATATACATCTACTTTAAATGTCGCCCAATTCATTTCGGCGGAAGCGGATATTGAATAAAGCCATTTCACACACGTGTACATTACATGCGCATGTCATATATTTATACAATGTCCACGATGTGTTACATGTAATTGTCGCCTTCACTCCGTTATTTTGAGTAGCCTACACTAGTTAATTAACTAACCTTGGTAATCAAAATTGCACGTTGAGATTTAAGTTGTATACAAGGACAAATAAAATGCTATTAGGCCAAATTCAATGATATTTATGAATAATTCTACATAGATTAGATAATAATGCTATTTACCCGAGATTCCACGGTACCAGTCGTATAGTGTATGTAAAAAAAAATGGAGGTCCTGTGTACACATTGGGGTACACGTAAAAGATCCCTTGGCAGTTTGAATTTGATACAAGAGTAGGCCATAGCGCCGCCATCCGAGTAAAATTTACCTCATTGCACACTGCATGGTGTACGCCCAGTCGGAGTAGGACATTAAACCCCATTTCATTTTATTTTGTACCATTGTACAATTGCAATTACTTTTAAATTATGGTCAATTTAAAGAATATAATTTATTTAACTTTTTTACAGCTTCACAATAATATAAGTCTGATCGTACAAGCCATGCAGTCACAACAAGAACAGATTGGTCAACTGCAGAAACAGTTGATACAACAACATGAGCTTCAGGTGGGCTTACAACATCAACAACTAGAACATGCACAGTTAACACAACAAGGTGCTCCACCTAATCTAGAGGAACATCTAGGAAAAGTAGAAGATGTGGTGACATCGCGTGTGGAACGAGCCATATCAACACATCTGAAAAAAGAAAATATCCTTTATATTCAAACACATTCTTTCCTTTCCTCTTTTTGTAGCTTTTGTGATTGTTGACAAGTGCTAAAAATTTGTAATCCTAATTTTCTTTGGAGTTTTTGTTTGAGAATTTTCTTACAGATATACCTAACCCTGCCGCTACACCTTATAATATATTGGTTATATTATACACCATTTAGAGACTGCATTACTGACCCTTCTAAGATTTGTCTATCCAAAGTTGTGCACAAAACAAAAGACCTACAATCTACAAGCAATATTAATATTTGATTACTGGCTGTCAACATTTGAACAACCCATGATAAAGCATGAGAAAGAGGCAAACATTTTAGAATAATAAAGGTAATGATTAGTATTAAAGTATATGGAGTATAAATAGTTTAGGATTTTTCTGACCTTCATCCATAGGTAAGTTGAAGCAGTGTATAAGACAAATAATTATCTACTCCATGGCAATCTTGTATCAAGTGATGTGAATCTTATTGGGATATTTACCAGTTTTATTTTTTATATACTTTCCTTGACATAAATACATCATCAGTTAAAAGACTTATTAAGTCAGATGGAAGTTCGTCATAAAGAAGAACAG